TACTCAGTAAGTATTAAGCTTGCCCATCACCGAGTTGTGAGTATACTGGAATATGTTTTCGATGTTCTTCTTGACTATGACTTGATTGACAATGAGATTGCCACGTATTCTACAATTTACATGTATTGAATAACTTGGATCTGATAGAAATATTTCCTGACATTGAAAAAAAAATGGATTGAAGAGATAAACTACGAATCACAAAATTATATCTGTAAAAATGTCAGATGTGTTGAAATATGATTCTGAAAAAGGTTTTCTTGACACTAAAAGATCAATTACAAATTATATGGGTTATTCCCCACCATTCAAATCTTGACCAATAGGAGCATGGGATTTGACATCACGTGGTGCGTATGATATCGATAATTTTTATGTAATACCACGCCTGTTGCTAAGCAATAAACAAAAGTTTTCCGTAGGAATTTAACCCGAGACAGTTGAAGAAACATCAAAGAGTAGTGACATTTGTGAAAATGATGGAGAAAAAAAAGACGATTTGGAGAAAAAAATGTTCATTTTGCCACGAAAATGTCAAATCCCAGTTCCCATTGATCGAGATTTGAATAGGGGGGAATAACCCGCCGAATACCCCTCGTGCTTGAAAATGAATCGAGTATTTCCCTCAAATTCCCCTGCTTAGCAACATGTGCATGCAGTTTGGCACAAAATACCTCGCGCAAGCGCTCGGGATTTTGATACTGCCAAACTTCATATACATGTTGCTAAGCAACGAAACTTTCGGGAAATACTCGATAATTTTCAAGCACCGGGGTATTATAACTGGTAATTCCATTATAATTATAACTGGTATTCCATGGGTAATTCGTCGGAAAAATTCTGAATTTCCAGAAAAAAATGATTTTTTTTTATTCCGATGGGTTTTTCACGGCAAAAATGAAGTTTTTCTGTACAAAAAAGTGGAAAATCGCGCTTGTGACCCGGTTCCCCAAAATTTATCACTTATTATACCACAAGAGCTTCAAAATTATTGGGTATTTCCCGATAGGTTCGTTGCAAACAAACGAAGGAGTCAAGTTTTTTCAATTAAAAAATAACGAGCGCGAAGCGCGAGTGATTTTTCTGAAATACTTGACGACTTTGTTTGTATGCAGGGAACATTGAGGCAAATACCTGATTAATTTTGAAGTTCGAGTGGTATTCGGGGGATTATTTTTTCAATCCAAATTTCGGTCAACAGGATTGCACCATGAGACAAAATTGATCTGTTAGTTTCGACGAGGGGTTCACTCCACTGAAAGATTTCTTTTTTATACCTCAAAAATTATAATTATCAGTTGAAAACCATGTTCTTTGTACCATGTGATGTCTAATGGTCTAATCCTGTTGACTGAAATTTGGATTGAAAAAATAATCAAGATTTTTTTTTTATTTTTCATAAAAGATAGTTTTTTTGCCATGATTTTGTCGAAATCCCAGACTTGGCGCAAAATGGTCAGTTGGTAATTGGTGGAATTACCCATATAAGTGAATAAATATGAAATATGGAATAATTAAATCTAATTTCTCATCTTGTGGAAGTGATTATGGCAAAAAGGATGTTGGAAAAATTAATGAGAAATAGATTTCAAATTCTTCAAATTCTACAAATCCGTAATGAATAGGTATTTGACTGAAAGGAACATTAGATTCTCATATTTCTACATCAATAATATATGGGCAATGCCATGTGATCTCAACGTGGTCAAAACCCTCCCCATCGTCAATCATAAAGCCTATTTTTTTGGGGGTTGTATGTGAAATATGATGACTTCTCAAATTTTTCCTGATTTTTTTGACGCATTCTGCGAGCAGTTATTATATATTTTATTCCAAGTTTTGTCTTCGAACACCTACATCTTCCGTAAAAATCAACCAATTTATTTTCATTTTTTCAAAATGTGTGTCTTTTGACCTACTTTTCATACGGAAATGGTCAATTTTCTTTTCTTCGTTCTTCCATCGCTTTCCTTTCAAAAACGTCAAAAAAATTTTAAAAATACTTGTTTTCGCGGTTGTACCTATTCTGTTTGTTTATAAAAATTTTAGTGGATATATTGGCTCCAAAATAAATATTTTCACCAAAGGCCAAAGTGAAGATCCCATTGGAACACATAAAAAATCATTCAATTGTTTGAGATCTGAATAAGGTGCATTGATTTTTCAAGCGACAAATTTACATTATGCATCCACGTTCAAATGCAGACGAAGTTTTGATATCTTTTTAATTTTTCATCATGAATTCGTATATTCAAATTGAAAATGGGAGCCACCTAATGGGATCTTAACTTTGGCCTTTGGTGGAAAATTGTTTTCTGGTCCTATATATTCACTGAAAATTTTATTAAAAAATTCCTCTTTGAAAATTGTGTCAGAAGATGCACATTTTGAAGANTTTGTTTATAAAAATTTCAGTGGATATATTGGCTCCAAAATAAATATTTTCACCAAAGGCCAAAGTGAAGATCCCATTGAAACACATAAAAAATCATTCAATTGTTTGAGATCTGAATAAGGTGCATTGATTTTTCAAGCGACAAATTTACATTATGCATCCACGTTCAAATGCAGACGAAGTTTTGATATCTTTTTAATTTTTCATCATGAATTCGTATATTCAAATTGAAAATGGGAGCCACCTAATGGGATCTTAACTTTGGCCTTTGGTGGAAAATTGTTTTCTGGTCCTATATATTCACTGAAAATTTTATTAAAAAATTCCTCTTTGAAAATTGTGTCAGAAGATGCACATTTTGAAGAGAAAAAAACAAATTGAATTGTTTGATTTTTATGCATGTTACAGGTGTGTGAAGACAACTTAGAACACAATACAACTGTTGACAAGACGTGGCAAAAATGTGAAAATATTTTAGAAGTCATCTTATTTCATACACAACCACAGAAAAAATTGGCTATATGATTGACGATGGTGAGGGTTTTGAAAGATTTTTATTTTGATCCAATTCCTTGACTCCTCAAAATTATCAATAGACTTTGAAGTTCAGAAAAGATATAGCCACTTTTATTCACTACTTGTTGCGTGTCAAAACACGCGAAATTACATTTTTTCTATATTTAATTATTTTGAGACATTTTCTTAGATTTTTTCCCGTCTCCATTCAAATAATTTTCCCAAAGGTATTTCGTAGAATTTTAATTAAATTCAGTTCCGTCCTTTCGACAAATTGTAAATGTGTAAACTCATTCAAAATATTTCTTAAATATCTCCTCTAGACTCTCTTAAATTATTTTATTGAAATAATCCTCATATTTACCAAAATTTTGTAAAGGACATTTCTCAGAAATTTAATCACTGCCAGAAATTGTCCTAATCCCTTCATTCAACTCAAAAATTTGTATTTTTAAATTACTTTATAGCTTCTTTTCCATTTTATTGCGCTCGACCCTCCACGGTCCCTCAATATTTTCGCCCAGACGCCCTTTATTGGGGAATAGGCCCAAGACGCGCCAATCTCTCCCTCTCTCCGTACTTCCTGCACTCCTAAATTTTCAACGACACCTGTCCAATCATAATTATTGTCCCTCCCATCACAGGTCCTTTTAACCAATCATTTGCAAATTCAGAAAACCATTTTTCCTCCTCCACTTTTCTATCCCTTCTACTTTCAAGTTCCAACTTGTCCTCAACTTTAATATTTTTAATCAGTATCGATCTCTACCTCGCAAAGAAAACACCTCAACGGAGGTACTCTTGTATCATCTATTAACTGTTAAAATAAAATAAAACGACATTAACTGTTAGAATCGTGAGTGATTATTCCAAGTCTCCAACCACCCAAGTCTCCTCACCTCTAACATTTCCTCTCATCGAATCCTTCCTCATCTTAACAAACAGTTACACAAAGAATACCTCGGCGTGTAACAATTATCGCAAATATTGTTCTGTATAGGTCAGATCTCTGGAACTTACAACTCCAGAGAGTTCAAAATCGAACGCAGTATTCCCGCGATATACCACTACTTGAATTTGCTTTAATCACAATATTGACAAATTTTGTTCATAATAAGATATTGAGGGGGGTGGGCCAAAGTGGAACAATGGCATTTTTGCATTGTTGCTCGGTAGATAATCGGTAGATAACCACGGGATCGTAACCCTCAAATAAATCACCATTTAACAAATTTAAGCCCGACATCAACTTTGCCCCACCCTTCAACTATACCAGCAAATTAGAAGACAAATAATGACAATATTTGAAAGCAAAACAATCCCTTCGTTTGTTGAAGATTTGTCATCAAATTTTGTACAAAAATTTGGCTTTATTTTGTCTGCTTTTCGATGGCAAACTTATCGGCAAATTTACGGATAATTCTCATGATAACTTGCTGATGCATAATAGATGAGTTATCGGACAGTTTTGTCGTCATTATGTTGACATTTTTATTCCTAAACTGCGGAAAATTAGCAAGCAAATTGCCAGCAAATTGTGAGCCCAATATTTACTGGGATGTATGTTATAATTATGACAAGTGAACAAGTCCAGTCATCTATTGTTTTTTTTAATATTCTCTACAAAAATTTTTTTCTGACGTTTTCATCTAAAACCGCTGTTTTCGCGGATATGTGCAAAATTCTGGAGGAGACTTGCCCTTGTCCCCTCTTACCATCTAGCTCACCCATCCAATCTTATCATCGAACTTTTACAGGTTATGTTCCTCGCTCCTTTTCACAAATTTCAGAAGTTCTTCCGCGATAAAAATCTCGGAAATGACGACAATATCGCCCAGAGATTTATCTAAAGGACAATTGCTGTCTCTGGTGCTAAAATGTTCAGATTTCGCTGCAAAAAAACACAAAAGACAGAAAAGAATGGATAAAGAAGGAACTCCTTACATAAATCATCCCCTGGGTAATTAACAAATTCTTCTGATCTTCCAACAATTAAGGACATCCTTGTATTTCGGCTATTTTTTTCTTCAGTAAAATGGTTTTTCATCACGCTGTGCGAAACAGTAACTTTTTAGGCACGCTTCGCGTGCCTAAAACGTCTCTTTTCCACACATTGTGATGAAAAATATCGTTCGATAATCATGGGAAAAGGGTTTTTTGGCTCGTGGGATTATATCACTCGCCTTCGGCTCGTGGTATAAACCTCCTACAAGCCAAAAAACTCTTTTCCGCACTCGTTACGAAATATACTATTATACTTTTGTAGTCGAACGTCAAAGCGTGGGGCTTTCATTAGCCCCATTTGACCCGAAGTTTCCGAACATTTCGCAATGATTTTATTATTTAAACATTGCAAGCCTGAATTTGAAGCTCGGTATTGAACCGTTAGACAATATTTTAAAAATCTGAATAAAAAATTGGAAAATTTACACGTATGAAAGATTTAATAGAAAAACCTAGCGAATTCGCTATAGACAATTCTATTTGATTTTTATTAAACTTTCTATTAGTTTTTGACCGATTCTGTTGAAATGTGCAATAGAAAATATTCTCTTGAAAAAGGCAAAAGAATTCGATTTTTGCATACAACTTATTGAGATATTTTCTATTGAATTCCCTCGGCTCAAATTGTCCATGTTTTTTTGTTTGATTTTCTTGATAAAATTAAACAAAATAAAAAGGAAAAACTTGGAGAATTTTGAGCCGAGCAATTTCTATAGAAAATATCTCAATAGAATACCGTGTCAATTGTTTTTTTCTAAACAATTAATTGTTTCTAAAGAGTACATGGGTCTCTTGGAACAACTTTTACATCGCTCTTACGACTAAGTAAAGTAAATGTAAACGTCGTGAATAAATTGTATAGAAGAATTCAATTCTGTTAATTTTTTGTATAAAATATTTTCTATTGGAAAATTCTATTGAAAAAAAAACGCAGGAAGCTGCGAAATTTTTTAATAGAGTCGGCAAAAAGCTGATAGAAGTCTCAGAACAAGTTTTATAAAAATCCAATAGAATTTTCTAGCCAATTCGCAAGGTTTTTCTACATTTTTTGTGTGTGTGTTATGATGTGTATGCACACACACTTATTCTATTTTGAGATATTTTTAGAAAATTTCCTCGGCTCAAATTTTCGAAATATTTTTGTTTGATTTTCTTGATGAGAATAAAAGAAAAATAGAATGAGAAAACTTGGAAAATTTGAGCCGAGGAAATGCTATAGAAAATATCTCAAGAGAATAAGTTATATAACAAAATAGGATTCTATTTTTCTTTTCTTCTAATGAATATTTTCTGTTGAACATTTTAAGAGAATCGGTCAAAAATTAATAGAAAGTTCAATAGAAATCGAATAGAATCTTCTAGCGAATTCACTAGAATTTTCTATTCAATTTTTTCCTGCGTGTACTTTTGGAGGAAGATGATTAAAAATTCGTGATTGTGGAAAATTCAGAGTATTTTTTATAAATAATTTGTAAACAATAATTTTTCAAGCATGAAAATCATTTGTTCGGAATCGAGCTTCTGAATATTTTACAATGATTTTATTATTTGAACTTTGCATGTCTGAATTTTAATCTCGATATTGAACTATCAGAAAACATTTTAAAAATCTGAAAAAAAAATTAGAAAATTTACTTTTGGAGAAAGATTGATAAAATAATAGAAAAATTGCAATTTTGGGAAATTGAGAGCATTTTTTATAAATAATTTACAAGTAAACAATTTTCTACCATAAAAATGATTCTTTCGGAATAATTTTTAATTGATTAAGTGGTCTGTACCAAACTGTAAAAGATACTTGAATATCAAGAATAAATGAAAGAATTCGTCAAATCATTCATTGAATTTCAGGAGTTGCAAATATTCTCACAGAAGAAGGGGACGTCCACGACCCAGTCGTCATCCTCTCCGCAATTCTCCATGATACAGTGGAGGACACAGAGACAACCTTCGAGGAAATCGAACGAGAATTTGGCTCCGAAGTCAAGCTCGTGGTGTCTGAAGTGACAGACGACAAGACATTACCGAAAATGGAGAGAAAACAACTGCAGATTGATCACTCTCCTCACATCAGTCACGAGGCTAAACTAGTCAAATTAGCAGACAAAATTTATAATCTGAGAGATCTGAGGAAAGAAATTCCTGTTGGATGGACTGCTGAGAGAGCTCATGAATATTTCAAGGTGATAAGCCATTTGCGTGATTGGGATTTCATCGAAAAACCTGGTGAAATCGGTGGAAAATTCAATTGAATTTCTATTCAACTTCTATTGAAAATTCTATTAGTTTTTGGAGGATTTTATTGAATAATTTCGCAGCTTACTGCGCGTTTTTTTATAGAAAATGCAGAATTAAAATTATTTTGTAGAAAGAGCTAATAGAATTTCATTTTTCTAGACAACTGTTTCGATAGGAATTCTTCAGAATGAATTTTCTGTTTTTTCCACTGTATTTTTTCTCTTTTTACTAAAAAAATTAAACAAAAAAACTTGAAGAATTTCCATAGAAATTATTTCAACAGAGTAAATTGTCTAGAAAGGTCGAATCTTTTCGATTTTTTTGTACAATATTTTCTCTTGAAAAATGTACTGAAAAGCCGTGGGAATTTTCAATAGAAGCTCAATAGAATTTTCAAGCAAATTCGTTTGTTTTTTTATTGAATTCTTGTTTTTCTAAGAAAAACCCGATTCACTTTCTCATTTTCAAAACAACCAAAAAATAAGAACTGATAATTATTTTAACTTTCTAGTGGGCAGAGCAAGTCATCCAGGGCTGCAGGGGTACAAATGAAAGATTGGAGGCAATTCTAGATGAAATATTTGCATCAGAAAAAATGGAGCACGAGAAAATGTTGAAGAAAAGTGCCTGAACCGTTTGAAACTGATCAATAAAGTTTTTATTCTTTATAAAAATAATAATAATATTGTTGTGTTCACTGGGCATGAGCCTTGTAGAATTCCTTCATGTAGTTGGCAAGTTCCTGAGCATCTTCAACCGACACTGCATTATACAGAGAGGCCCTAATGCCGCCCACAGACCTGTGGCCCTTGAGTTGGAGCATTCCACGCTCCGCAGCTCCGGCTAGGAATTTTTTCTCTAGCTCCTCGTCATTCTTCCCAATTCTGAAGGGCAGGTTCATTCTGCTCCTGGAGTGTGACTTGACCGGACAACTATAGAACCCGTTGGACTGTTCGATAACGTCGTAGACTAGTTTACTCTTAATTATCGAGAGCTTCTCCATTCCTTCGACTCCACCGTGTTGTTTTATCCAGTCGAACACACGTCCAACTACGTAGATTCTGCAATGGAAATAGTGGGAATTCATTATTGACGAACGGAATGATGATATTGGCGATCTTGATGCGCACGAATAAATTTCATAGAAAAATCTAGCGAATTCGCTGGAAAATTCCATTGGATTTCGATTGAACTTATATGGAAAAAATTCTACTGCGCTTTTTTTATAGGAAATGTTCAATATAAGCTATTTCATGGAAATAAATTAGTAGAATTTGATCTTTCTGTACAATTTTTTCTATTGAGACATTTTCTATAAGAGTTCCTCCACATAGGTTTTTAAAGTTTTTTCCACTAATTTTTTTTCATTTTCATTGGGAAAATCAGAGAAAAAAAACTTGGAAAATTTTGAGAAGGAACTTACAGAGAAAATTTTTCAATAGAATAGGTGTATATAAGAATCCGATTCTATTGATTCTTTCTATACAATATTTTCTATTAAAAATTGATATTTAGAACAGTTGTAGAAAAACGGTAGAATTTTTTAAAAGAATCGGCGAAAAATTAACAGATTTTTCAACAGAAGTTCAATAGAAATCTGGAAAATTTCATAGAAAAATGTAGCGAATTCGCTGGAAAATTCTATTGAATTTCTATTGGAAAATTTTGCAGCTGCACATTTTTTATAGTAAATGTACAATCAAAAGTTATTTTACAGGAAAAATCAGTAGAATTTGCTCTTTCTATTCAACTTTTTCTATTGAGATATTTTCTATAGGAATTCCTCCACATAAATTTTCCTACTTTTTTTCACTAATTTCTTTCCCTCTGATTAAGAAAATCAAATGAAAAAACTTTTTAAATTTGACCCCAGGCCTTTTGTGGAAATTTTTTCAATTGGATTAGTTGTGTAGAAGAATCCAATTCTATTGATTCTCTCTGTACAATGTTTTTGTATTGAAAATCGGTATTTAAAACAGTCACAGAAAAAGTGTAGAATTTTTCAAAAAAATCAGCGAAAAATTAACAAATTTTTCAATGGAAGTTCGATAGAAATGTCGTAGACTTTTGAAGAAAAACCTAGCGAATTCACTGGAAAATTCTATTGGATTTCTAATGAATTTCTATTGCATAATTTCGCAGCTTCTCTGCCTTGAAAAAAAAACGTACAATCGAAAGTATTTTACAGGAGAAATCAGTAGAATTTGCTCTTTCTATGCAACTTTTTCTATTGAGATATTTTCCCTATAAATTCCTCCACATAAATTTGACAACTGTTTTCACTCCTTTTCTCCTCTGATTAAGAAAATCAATAAAAAAAATTGGAAATGTTGAGCTCAGGAATTTCTACAAAAACTTTCATGTGAACATTGGATGCAACAATGTTCACATGACTACAAAAATGCAAGCACATAAACATGCTAAAAGAAAAATAAAACACGTGAATGCGAAATTCTTGAAGATAAACATTTTTCACGAAATAGACGAGTCTGCTGGTGGTAATCTCTCCCAACAATTACGAAATATTGAGTACGAGAGATAAGAGAAACATTCATGAGAGATTGAGTAACTCACTGGAATGTCGGTGGCGTGTTGTACAGAGAGTTATCATTTGCCATGACCGTATAATCCAGAACTGAAGGGCAAATGGGCAGTGCTTTGCCCAGGAGGTCCTCTCGGACGATCACGAGGGTCACTCCAGAGGGGCCAATGTTCTTCTGGGCTCCAGCGTAGATTACTCCGAACTGAAACGAAAGTCTCCCATTCATTCCTGCCAATAGACCTTTTCATTCTGGAAATCTAGGGGAAATATTTATTCCGTTCGTCGAAATAAAAAATCTTCGGAAAAATGATAAAAAATTCTGATAAATATTGACATTAAGGCCCGGGTGTACTATCTTTCGAATGTTATCTGGATTTTTTTTATCTTTCGTAATCCAAAATTGTCAATTGAGTGGTACAATCATTAGTATCTGAAACGATCTGAACTTGGATCCTATGTATTTTGTTTCAGAACTTTAGTAAACGACTGTACACCATGTAGAAATTCCCAAAAATTATGACAGAACGATAAAAAACAAGCAGGCGACCGACCCTATTCGACAGAAGACTTGTGACACCACACTGTTATGTCAAAAGTCTTCATTTTTCTGCTACCAATTACATTGGTTATAAGCTTCCGAAGGGAAGAAGTGCATCGTCTATTTTTTATTTTTATTATTTCAACCGTAGTATATAAAATCATTTCGTCCTCTTAAAAATTTCATATGTAAAATTATGTGGTTTTACTCCGATTCAATTATTTCTCTCGATTTCATTCGTATTTTCCAAAACAGACTGATCTGTGCTGATGAATACACGTCCCATTCGAATTCAAAAAAATCATTCTCATTCCAGATGGTATTCCATAGTGCAACTTTTCTTCTTTCATATGGAATAGGAGGTCATCGAGACAAGTATTTAAAAAAAAAAAAAATTTAATCCCTCGAGAAGTAAAGGAGTTATTGGCCAAAATGGGTTTCCACAAAAAATTGAATATCTCGCGAACCGCTCGGTCGATTTTGCCCATTCAAAATACCATTCGTCTATGTCATGAAAGCTACGAACATACCAAATTTCAAGTCAACAACAACCTTTTTTATCGAGTTATCGCGCGCACAACGTTTTTCGCAAAAAAACAGATTAACGGCAATATCTCTAGACTCAACAGCGATTGTTCGATATATTATGGGTGCTTCAGATGGAGGTCATTGGGACGAGTATTTTAAAAAAAAAAAAAATTTAATCCCTCGAATAGTTAAGGAGATATTTGCCAAAATGGATTTCTACAAAAAATTGAATATCTCGCGAACCGCTCGGTCGATTTTGCCCATTCAAAATACCATCCATCTATGTCATAAAAGCTACAAGCATACCAAATTTCAAATCGATATTAACATTTTTTATCGAGTTATCGCGCGCACAACGTTTTTCACAAAAAAACCGATTAACGGCAATATTCCTAGACTCAGCAGTGATTGGTCTATGTATTATGAATGATTCAGGTAGAGATCATCGAGACGAATATTTTGAAAAAAAAAAGTTGAAATCGGTGCATTTATTGAGGAGATATAGCTGAAAAACGAAATTTAAACAATTGGCAATATCTCAGGAACTACTGGACCGATTGAGCCCAAATGGAGCCACAAAGTGGGGCTTATTCATAGCTATCATCAGTAAAAATTTCAAGTTTTTATCTGCGAATTTCACCGTATTTATGTTAAAATTTCTAAAAATAAACCCCCAAAACAGCCATTCTGCACATACATACGTACAGACGCAACCTCAAAAACATCATTTTTTCACGTTTCATGACATTCTAGATCATTTGCAATGAAAATTAGAAAATCGAAAAATCGACCAAAAATAATGCTTCCCTTCGGAAGCAAAAAAAGAAAAAATTCAGAACTTTTTCAAAGAGCGTTTTTAATTGAGATTCAGAATGAGTTGAAAAAAGCGCAAATTACAAATATTTGATTCGCTGTGGCAAATTATCTGTTAGCTGTCATTTTCCGTGGTGGATAACAAAACACTAACCCTCATGAGAAGTGACAGCTAGGTATCTCAATTTTCAAAACAGTGGTATGTAGATGTAGTCATCTGCCATTTTTACGTGATAAAAGTGTGATTAAAAAATTCTCCAAAATATTACAACTTTTAAGAAATGTCTCTGTGCAGTGTGGGGAAAGATTTACGAAATCAGTCTTCCCCCTGCATGATATTGGGTGACAGGCCGCCATTTGCCACCGTAAATCAGATACATTTTTCAATTTCTTGTTATTCAACTTATTCTGAATCTAAATTAAAAATGCTCTTTGAAAAAATTAAGAATTTTTTCTACTTTTTTTTGATTATTCATACATAATTTTTCAACACTTCTGCATGATGCAGGACTTAATTGACAATTTCAGGTGACAAAAGATGAAAAAAAACATCGAGATAACGTTCGAAAGATAGTACACCTGGGCCTTAAGATGATATAGATTGGAGCATACAAAAATTACTAAATTACTAATTCATATGTAAATTGCGTAAAAGTGTCCGAAAATTACTATTCTTGTCAGTACTCCCAATAATAAAAAAAGTTGATAAACAAAAGTTAATAAGAGAATTTTTTTTGCTTGAATTGCCACAAATAATCGTTTTTCGGCTGTTTCATTTTGCTCCACTTTCCCCTATCTGTGAATCAATTTTTAGCTCAATTGATTATAAATTGAGGCACTCGGAAGATTTAGAGCCTCCTAAGGAGAGCCAAAAACTCTCAGATTCATCATTAGAGAATCAAAAGGCTTCAAAATTTCACTGCAGTCTCCTTTCCTTTAACGAAAATGCAAAAAAAAGAAATGTCCGATTATTTTGTTCACTTTTACCTTGGAAATGTCAAGTTTCCTTGTCAAAATATTGGAAGACATATCAGCAACTAATGGAACCCCATTAGTCTCAGGGACGTAGTCGAATTCTATGCCTAGAGGGGAATGAATTCAATAAACATATTAAATTATTGATAGTGATCAATAATCAATTCAATAGCGAAGCCGTAAAACGGTCCAAGTCGACTTAGGCCTCAGCTGACTTTTTGAGGAATATCTCCGAATCTAACGGAGATACTACAATTTTCATAATAATCTTGTTTGAAACGCAACTAAAATTCCAGAACATTCTGGTCGACCGTCGGCCTACTTCGAAAATCTCCGGGACCCTTCGGGTCATCAGTCATAAGTCACCGAAACACGCGCGAATCAGTTTAGGCTTAGCCTCTCACCGTATTAGTCTATCTCGGGCAAATCACCTGTACAAGTTTTATATCGCACCTCACCGAGTACAGTAGCTTCTTGAACTTCACCTAGTTCACTAGTAATCAAGTACATCATCGGTCATTATAAAATCACCGTTTTGTTCAGTACATCACCTCTGTTGATTAAATCCAGTCTAAATTCAGTGACCCAACGAATTAACAGGGAAAGACAATTATCAGTGTAATTAGACATTCAACAATTAAATTACCAAAGAGTGTAAATAGTTTTGACAAAGTGGTTCGATCCCACAAAATAAAGTGTGATTTTTTAAATCCGGCTCATCAGTAATTTTCCCGACATCTCCCTCCACATTTTCATCCCACATCCACCCTAAATCTAGTCATTCACCAAACAAATATTTTTTGTAGAGCGAATTGGGGGCTACAAAAAAGGTTTTGACAAACATTTTGGTATCTTCCTTAGATTCCGAGATATTCATTAAAAACTGGCCAATCATTATCTGTTGGAACTCTATGATGGAAATGCATAGAGGAGAAGAAATAAAAATTTACAGTTACCATGGACCGTTTCATTGGCACAATAATACACGTAAGATGCATTGGGATCGAATTTCCAGGCTGCGCGATCAGGTATTTCTGTGTATGAACTAGTTTTCGGCAGTACATGGTTGATTTTTCCGTATTTAGCTGCCTCCTTAGCTGCCTTTGCCGACCAAGATCCTGAAAGAATTAATTTAATCATCAGATGAAATCATTAATATTTCTTTTAAAGAATCAATATATTTTCAACTTTTTAGATGACTTATTTTCTTTCTATGTTATAAAAATCCTAATCGACTTCTGGTGATAAAAAATTGGTACTCGAAATTAAGGGTCGAAATAAGAGCCACAAGAGTCAGAATAAGGGTCCAAATAAGGGTCATGGGGGTCATATGAGGGTCATATGGGGGTCGGCGAGCAGAGCGAGCAGAGGGGGAGTAGCCCCCTAATATGAAGATATTTTCCATTTTTTTATGAGAAAAACAAGAAATTTGTTACATACATAAATACAGACGACCCTAAAAACATCATTTCTTCACGTGTCAAAACATTCTAGACCATTTGCAATCAAAATTAGCAAATCGAAAAATCGGTCAAATGCAAAGCCTCCATTCGGAAGAAAAAATTGATGAAAATTTGTTTTTCACCTGTTATGAAGTAATCAGCAACTCCAGTCTTGCTGATGAGATTCAGGGGAACTGCTGCGAACTGTCCAGTGCCTCCACCCTGCATGAACAGGACTTTGTAATTACTGGGGATGTTCAAGAGCTCCCTGCAACGGTCCTGAGTATCTTGGTTGACTTTTGCGAAATCACCTGACCTGTGACTGAGCTCCAAAATGCTCACTTTGGTGTTTGCGAAGGATAGTAATTCCTCCTGCACACCCTTCAACACCTTGAACATTACATATTGAAGAATTGATCAATTTCGTTTGCGATTACGTCATTAATTCAGTAGCGAAGTGGTCAAACGGTTCAAGTCGATTTTGGCTATTGGCCAGTTTTCAATGAATATCTCAAAAACTAAGGGAGATAGTAACATTTTTCTCATAACCTTTTTAGCAGCACTCAAATCGCTCTTCAAAAAGGTCATTATGAAAATTTCGGTGTCTTCCTTACATTCAGAAATATTTCTGGAAAACTCAAGACTAAATTGACTTAAACCGTTTGACCACTTCGCTACTGAATTCATTTCTTTGATTAATTGCTTTGTGAGATAAATGAAGTAGATTTATAGAATCGTGTATATTTTACACCACAAATACATATTTTTTGCTTAATCACTATAATAACGTGTCAATATTTTTCATTATATTATGAATGAGTATTGAGAAATTCACGTTTTTCAAATACCGTATCAATGAGTGAAAATTAACAATAAAAAACTATTATTTATCTCAACAGGAATTACACTTGAATATTTTAGAGTAGTTATTCAATCAATAATCAAATCAAAAATATTTTCTAATACTTATGTAATCAATACTGAAAATTGAAATATTTTCATTATTCTGTTAATGGGTAATGTTGACCGTCGAAATATTCATTACTGTGACAATGGACAATGATTATCGAAATGTCATTCCCTATGATGATAATCATAAATAAAAACTTTCTATTACTCAGTTAATCAGTAATTATAGGTACACATTATTGAATACTCATCTAATTAATGATGAAATCTATCTCATTAATTGAATATTTTTAGAGAAGAGCTAAAACAGATAGCGAGTTTTGGGAGAATTTTCATAGTTCCCGGTAGCTTAGTTGGGAGAGTGCTCCGCGTGTAACTGGGAGACCCGGGTTCGAATCCCGGCTGGGCGGGAAACGGTCGTTATGTGCAGCGCCATCTATCGGAATTCTAGAAAATTCTAGACATTTCGAGGTAATTTGTGAAGTTTCTTGAAATTTCGAAAAAATTCAAGGAGTTTCTAGAAATTTCGAGGAAATTCAGGGAATTTCTAGAAAATTCGAGAGAATTCAAGGAGTTTCCAGAAAATTGGAGAGAATGCAAGGAGTTTCTAGGAAATTCGAGAAAGAAGAAGAGTATCGAAGATACAGCCGCCTGCAGTTTTCTCTCAAAATTGTAATTCTCTTCAAATTTTTTTTTTCAAGTTTTTTAAAAATTATAATACTATCTAGAACAGATAGCGAGTTACAATGGACAATGAACAAAAAATTAGGCATCAGGTCCGTCACACGGTTATCATTGTTCACTGAAGAGAAGAGTTTATATAGCCTTTCACATCTTGTGACTTTAATAGATATTATTGGATACCATTTTTGGAGTAAATAGAAGCAGAGCCAGAATGGATTTTTATCCATTACTATGATAATTAAAAATGAATTTGGTTCTATTATTCGTGATGAAACTAATCGGATTTTTCAATTTTCTATTATCCATTACTATGATAATGGAAAATCGATTTGATCACATTATTCATAAAGAAAGAAATCGCAATTTTCTGTTTTTCATTTTCCATTGATATAATAATGAAAATAAATTTTGTACCATTATTGATTGATAAATTATTTTTTTCTTTTTTCATTTTCATTTCTCATTAGTATCGCAATGAAAAATACATTTGGTATTATTATTCATTACGAAATAAACCATAATTCAATTTTTTCATCAACTATTGATATGCTAATGAAATGTAATAATGGAAATTATATTCCTGTCAATCTCTGGACCCAATTCTGTAAATATTTCGAAACTGATTAGATTTATAGAAAAATTTTCTCATGAACCCACTATTTCCTGTGATATTCGTCAAAACTGGCTGGCTGGATGTGAAGTAATCTTCATGAAGTATCGCCAAGTTTAATAACGAATGGAAAATTTAAAAAATTAAAGACGATCGGACATTCAATTAATATTGATAGGGAATCATCCCGGCGTGGCGTGAATGACCTCCGCATGCTGGAATTTACGCAGGGCCGTGTCCCTGGTGATCAAGTGCAATCATCGAAGAACACGACATTCAATCGAAACAAATAGATGAAAATTTAAAAAAAATGAAGAAAACATCTCCACGTGACGATGTGCCATGTATAGAGACCGACAGGGTAATTGCTCCACAATCACTATCTGAGTGATTAATTCCCCTTTGGTGTTACGAAAACATGATAAGAAACGGGGATCGAGTATTTGTGATAAAATGAAAATTATTAGTAAAATTTTCCAATTTCAATAGATCAATAAATCAATATACTGGATCAATCATCGAATTTCACAGAAAAAAAAATTCTCTCTCATTTTCTTCCACAGTAAATTAATCAATTCATTTCGTCTTCTTATTAAATAATTGAAATAATTAACAACAATTAATTAAAAAGTACATTTTTTATCAATTTAAAACAGGGAAAACACTCAGGAATTTTCATTTTTTATTATTTAATTAATTGATGCTGATTAAGAAGGAATTAATGAGGAATAATTTCTGTTTAGATCAACCACCTGTTGATTAACCTTCCAAAGTCGCTCCTAAGCCGATTAACAGAGTATTTAATTTATTAATTAGAGAATTATTTACCTCCTCAGGGAGTTTTGCTGGTCCGGCACCGAAATTGATGACTCTACCACCCATTTTTACTCTTCTAACGTAGGAATTACTTCTCAAGATGGATGGAATGAACTGAACGAGCCGATGAAACTGGTCGCGAGTCCCTCAAGTTACGGAATATAAAACTTCTATCTCCCCCCTCTTCCATTCGCGGTCTGATCCGCGGAGCTGAAGGATTTCAAATAGGAAATAACTTGTTGACTTGGAGCAGGTTGGAAAACAATAAATACAAGAAGATTGACGATTCTGCAACGCGATTGAGTGGGTTCCTTTGCGACGAAATTATACTTGAGTACAAGAATATTTTAAGGTGTTTCGTGTGAAAAGTCAAAATAATAATAAAAAATTGGAAAATGAATGGGAGAAATGTCTGAGTACGCTGCATCATTGAGAATTTTTGCACATTTTTTCAGATCTCAGTCTCAAGACAAAAAATAATGAAATTTGGATGTTTCTGTAACCCCGTCAGCTATAACCTCCGAGGTTACCCCACTCGTAATTAGGGAAATTTCCATGACACCCGAAAAAATAATGAACTATTGAGGGAAAAATAGCGGGTGATAAATTAAATCTTTCTTGAGAACACGTATAAGTTTCAGATTATTCTCAGATTTCATTAGAAAGTTATTTGAACAAATGATTCGGAAAATTGGGAGTTTCGGAGCAATTACGCCCTTACGTGTAGTCGTGTAATTCGAATGTCAGTGAGCAGGAGCCAAAACACTCTTTTCCGCACTCGTAACGAAATATACTATTTCCTTCTGATCGTCAACTATTCAAAATAAAGACTTTTCAGGCATAATGCAAAGACAATCAGAAGGAAAAACCCTTTTTTTCGGTTTTTTCGTTTTTTTTTTCGATTTTTTCATGATCTATATAATGGATCGTTAAACGGAAGCTTAACTTTGTTCTTTGGAATCTCACGAACATTTTGAAAACAACAATCAAATCGGATCAAAATTGGGGAACGAGGGACGTTTTAAAGATAGAAACATGAAAAACGACGTTTTCCGTGGAAGTACGGGGCAAAAACGATTGGGTCCGGGATTTTTCCCACTTTTTAACATATCTCATTATATAACTAAAGTCGCTCAATAAGTCCCTAGATCCACCGAAGACTTTCAAATTTCACAGGGGTTTCCCCGTTAAGGGGTAACAGAATGCTCTTAATAATTTTCCAAATTTTTGAACAAATTTCCTGCTGAAAGTTATCGATATTTTAAAAAATCAAAGCACATGAATCTCCAGAAGGTGATCAAGATGCAGATCATTGATGAAGATCAATGTGCTTTGGGTTGAAAAAATATTAATAATTTTGAGCAGGAAATTTGTTTAAAAATTCCGAGAAAACGATGGCCTTCTGTTACTCCTTAAAACATGAGACCTTTCTCGGGTCACTTGAGTTAAGATTCCTGAGAGGATTAACCCGGCAGTAGGCGTACACTTTTTAGTATCTCACTCGCACTCCAGATATCTTATAGGTTGACTAGTGTTGCGTGAGAGAAAATCTCACACGCGCCTAACGTACGTCCAAGTTATTCGGAGAATCTTAACTCTTGAACATTCATTGGATTGTACAATATAAATCCTTGGTCCTGATATCTGTATTTTGAAATTGGTCCAAAGATAGACAAGAACTTTGGCCTTCTTCATTATAGTCTGCGGTGGTAGTTAAATCTGTAATTCTTTACTCCTCACTTAAATATGAAAATTATTCAAGATAATCTCTCCAATATCAAATGTACAAAATCTCAAAGGTCTCAGTCAATTATTTGACTGCCAAATGACCCTTCGAAAATTCGTCGGTAAACTGAGGAGGTATTGTTTCCTCTTATAGTCGATACGCTGAGGCCAAAAGGTATAAAATCGATGTAAAGTCTTGAAACTTGGCTACTTTATGTATTTTGATGTGCTGAAACCGAATATGTAATTTTTTTGGGAATAAGCTAGGCATTCAATAGTTATTAACAACTTAATTGTTTAGATGCGTTTATTGCTGCTATTTTGGTTCATATGAAAAAAATTTTTCATCTCCGAGACTATTTTGGTCATTAATTTTGCATCAGAAGCCCGAACGGGTGAGCCACTCAAAGTACTAGATGAGATTTTAGCACCTGTTAAGTTTAAATCATCATATTTTCCCCAAAAATCAACGGATTTAAAAAAATCAAAAAGTGGGCGCGGAGCAGTGTATCTAAACGAATATCGTTTGTGTTTGCATACTGCACTACGCTGACTAAATTTTATAAACATATGATGTTTGACAATGTGTAAATCGTGTTCAGTGCCTTCCTTTACCATGTTTCGATCTATAGTTTTTACTCTTTTCTGATATCTTCATCTTCAATATGAAGGGGTCTTCTATTCATCCGATAACAGGAATTATACATTATCATTATAAGTTGCTGGCGACATTTTTACATTGTCCTCTCGAAGCATGGAACGCGTTTTGTCCCTTACCCGACATGAAGAGTATGAGAGAAAATAGAAATAATCGACAGATTACAGATATTATTCCTTTCTGCAGTAATCTAATGCAATACAGAATGTACAACGATATTCACTCAAATACTCTGCTCCGCGCCCATACTCACCCGTCGTCCGCGCAGTTTATCCACCCGCGCTCACTCTTTAGCCTGTATCTCGGGAAGTATTGGACCGATTTCGACGAGTCAAAAATCATTTTATTGGTGAAAGAAAGAGGAATAACTTTTGTTGGAATGATTTTTCTGTATCTCTTTGTTTTCCCGGAAGAACATTTTTTCACTAAAATGGGGGTTAATTTGTTTATAACAAATGATTGCGCGACGGGAGGACAAAATAAACAACATATTCGGATTCCTCACCTCCAAAAACATAAAATCCAATGATAAAATTCCATCGACCTCCTAGTGACCACGGGAAGGGGGTATTGCGTATGGACTAGGAGAGGACTTCGTTTTTCGAGAATCGAGTGCGATATTTAATTCTGAGAAACTGAAAGAAGAGCTGAGGAATACATTAGGAGTGCACGGAGGACAGTGGTTGGGATCACTAATGCACCATGGCGGGCCGAGCGTATCAAGACATTTGTATACGTCGTTTTTAATTTGCAGATGTTCTGTTTTATTCATAGATTCATTATTGATCCAAATATTTTTAAAAATCTTGAAGATATTCCACATATAAGCTCCATTGACTCTAAAGTCCACGCCGCCCGCAAACTGTCTGAAACTTGCTCTTTTTTTATCTTTGAACGTTCTTCGGGCGTGGGCTGCTGCCTTTTTGTATAAAAAATAGTCTTTTTCTTTTTTCGAGTATCTCCATTTCTTGTGAGCAGCCCTGCAAAGGCGCCTGACTCTATCACACTCAGCATCCCACCACGAAACGGGGTTTCTGTGCATGTGAGAAGGAACATCCTTTTTTTTGGGGGTTTGATTTTTTATGTTTGATTCTAGTAGATCAACAAAGAAGTGATATTTTTGCTGAGCATCTAGCTCATCATATTGATAATGAAAAAATGAGGAATATGCTTCACTGAGAGACGACTCAAGTTTCTCCCAATCAGTGCGAACAGATGTAACCCTGAATGATTTCTTTCTATACAAATGTTTTTCAACAGAAAGTTGTATGAAAATGGGGTGATGATCAGACTCCCAGTTTTCGTCATGAACAAGATATTTGATTTTATCAGAAAAATGTGTAGTGGAGAAAATGGGATCCAGATTAGCTTCACTGCCTTGGACCTGACGCGTGATAGTGTCAGTATTATGTAGGATCATATTGTGTGTTGTGATATAGTCGTATATAAGTGTTCTCCATTGGTATCATTTTTTGGGCAATTCCAGGCCAGGTTGTGGGCGTTAAGATCGCCGACAAGTAAAGTGTAGTCTAATGAGTATGCAAGAGATACGATTTTATCCCAATCGTCATGGGTAAGACTCTTGGGATTTGGAGCTCTATAATTAGCTAAAATGTCGAAGGTGGGATTGGTGTTGGTAATACGAAATCCTACAATTTCAGCAACCTGGCTTGAAATTGCTTGATTGCATAGTTGTTTATACGCAAGATTTTTCCTGATAGCGACTAAAAGGCCTCCTCCCGCATCATGCTGTCTATCTTGTCTAATGCCACTAAAGCCAGTAAAGAAGTTATCGCGAACTATTGTTGAATTTAATAAAGTTTCAGAGAAAATCATAGTGTCTTGAGACTTAGCTACAGTTTGTAGTTCTGGGAGACGTAGCAGCAAGCTGCGACAGTTCCAGTGGAGAATTCTGAGTCCATGAAGTGTCGTCGAGCTCCGTTGAGCTTGTTGTCTGGGCTGGTAAGCGCTGTGTAGAGCCATGAAGAGTCTGTCGAGATGTCGAAATTTAGGATTACCATGTGGGTGGTGCAAGAAGAACTATGTCTGGATATAATTCAGAGATTCGTGCCCGAACGTAGAGGAGGAATTTTTTCAATGATACATTTGATGTATGATCGAATGCATTGTCAAGCATCTTCACCAAGCCCAAAATGTCGCTCGAATATTCTTCAACAATTTCTTCGCTGACACCCTTGGCGTGTGAATCCTCAAGAAACATGACGAATTCATCGAAAGTCAATGTATATTCATCTAAGTGTAAATAAAAGTAGGCCACTGCTGAAGTAATTTCAAATTTGATGTTGAGGTTTTTGAACGCCTTACGATCTTTACTGCTGAATTTTGTTCTTTTTTTTTAACGGGTTCAGGATGTCTTCAGATGATTGGCTGGGTTGTAGACTGGGTGGTTGGGATGCGGATACGGTCTTACTCTGGAAACATCTTCATTTTCAATGGGGCGCTTAGATAGCTCGGATTTTTGTGTATCGTTGGACTGCTCATTATTTCCACCTACTCCCTTGTGATTGACCTCTTGAGTTTCCATTCTCGTGCTTACAGAGTCTGGTGATGACTGAGGGATTTCCAGTTGTTGTTTTGAAGTGGCGGCCTCCCCAGGGGATTGACTCGGATGTGATTGTACAGGGGTAGCATCGATTGATAGAGTCTGTTGGGTTTCGATGGGTTGGGATGACACTTGAGACGGGGATTCTGTGACTTCATTGCGACCATTTTCACAGTTGTTAGCCGTATGCC